GGCCTACACGATATCTGCCAATTGCGCGAGCTATAGTAAACAAGAAAATCGGTCGCGCGCCGTGCCATTCAACTGTTCAGCCGTGTACCTGAACTGGCGCAAAATGTGCACCTTTCATGACATATATATTTCAGTGCAACGAAAGGAATTGCGAAATAACAAACAATGTTTAGGTGCAAACAGTAATTTTAAGACGTCTAGGGTGCAATCATAATCAATTGATCGGTTGACAAAAGTAATTTATTTTTACACAAATTTGCACAAATTCTTTATCACGAGTCTGACTCGTGGCTTTCGTTTATGGCACAAATTCTTTACCACGAGTCGGACTCGTGGTTTTCGCTTATGGCACAAATTTTTCACCACGAGTCAGACTCGTGGTTATAGGCCAAAGGGTTAACGACTTGTTTCAACGCGATCGCTCTCCGACTGAAAATTTAACCATCGAATTTCGACAAGAAACGTCGGCTGTGTTACTGCATTTCCACCGGGCGTAGGCATCGGATGCGGCGTTCCATCGGCCGGAACAACGATCCCCAGCCGCCCTAAGGATGTTAATAACCGTCGGTGGGCCCCCGACTGATAACTTATTGGATTTCGCTGGTCGGTCGTTTGCCTGTACAGGGTTTACCCGTTAAAATCAGTCTGGCACGTCAAAGTCGACATAATTTCATCGGATCGGGGAAAACTGCGGAAGCACTCGAGAGAGAACTCGAAACCTGGTTATGGGAGGAGGTTTTCACTTAGTAAATTGAACTCCAGAAAGTTCGCCGTCTGAAGCCGCTGCTGCGCGATGCTGGCAAGACTGTTTCGCAAGCGCAATAAGCGTCGCCGCATCTACGGACGTCGCGCGAAGTCGTCGGCATCGCACAGTAGTTTAATCGTGGAACAAAAATGATTTCTTCGAATGCGCACACGTAATTCGCGGCGAAAGTCCGCGCGGTTCGGTCATGCTTCGTCGACTATCGTTTCATCGACGATTACGTCGATGCTTAATGTTGCTAATAATACAGTAAATTCTCTGCAGTTGTGCCACGGCTTGTAAACAAACGTGGACATTCGAGCCTCGCGTTCGTTCTTATAGCCGCCGGTTGTCAACAAGCGTAAGAACGATGTTTACAAGTTGAGAGACAATTGGGGAGAATTTACTGTATTTATCCGCCAACAGAGAGTTTCGTAGACAGTGTTTACTTCGTCAACTTCTGCTTCGTACAGCGATGACTAAACTGCTGATCTTACGCATTTATTGCAAACAGGTCTAGTCGCATTTTAAAAATCTAAAAAGGTACGAAGAATTTAACAGTTTAGTGATTACTGTGTTTCCTGTTGGTAATGCTAAGATATATTATAGATAATATATTAAAATAATATTATTAGAGTGTGCTTATGGTCATTTGTAATTTCATTTATCAATTTTTTCACGTAATATTTGTTATGTGTAATTCCAGAATTTATTATATCGTACGAATTAAGATTTTGAAAATGGTATCGATCGCATAGTAGAAACCGCGACGATTGGTTACGAAATACATTTCTACAACTGAACTATGTTTTAATGTAACGCGCAACTTTTCTGAAATAACTAACGTTAGGACGAAAGGCAAAAATTCAAAAGTTATTTTCATCATTTCACAAAGTACAGTAAATTCTCCCTAATTGACGCTCGGTTTGGAAACAAAAATGGGAAATTTATAAAGAGGAAGCACAATTGTTCGAGCCTTTTGGCTCGTTTTTACAGTCGTTGACAATCGGTGACTATAAAAGCGAGCCGCAAGATTCGACTAATCGTGTCTCCTGCTTCCCAAATTGTCCATTTTTGTGGACAATCTGGGCGTCAATTAGAGAGACATTGCTGTAGTCAAATTATAAATACCTTGTAAATACCACAGACCTGATATCGTGATTTAATTTATGAAATCATACTACGCGAATCCATATCGCATGGAACAACTTGTAATTGAAAATGTTGTAATTGAAAATTAGAATCGAAGAACGTTGCGAGACGGTGGTTGAAATCTGATGAAAGTTATATATAAAACGATAGTCGTTGAATCGGTGGTTAAAGATAAACGTCGGCACGTTTGCTTTCTCGCCGAAAAACCCGTGAAAAGAACGACATTACTTACGGGAATGGTTTAAAACTTAAAAACCTGAATTCTCGCGAGCTTCTGAGAAATGAGTACCACTGCGCATCGAGAAAAAGCTGCGCGGGTGGAGACGCTCGTTCACGGGAATGTCCAAATCATTTTATATCCACCACTGCGACCGCTTGACGACACGCCTTTGAATCCGGGATCAAAAGTATTTCGTTACGAGATGGGACTGCATAATTCATTGTCTGAATGTTTCATCAGCGGGATTACTCTTCCCGTTCGCCACAATGTTGGGTCCCCTGTGCACGATGCGCTTCGACAAATCATTAATTATTCATTTAGGTCGAGGAATTTTTGATATTCCGTCCCGCCTCCCGCGTCGTTTCTATACACCGTTGCTTTCATCGTGATTCAAGTTCCCCCCGTTAAGAACAGGAAAATGCCTCTCATCCGGCCCGTCCTTGTAGCTTTACAAGCTTTACAACCTTCCTCGGTTGGAAGGCATTTTTTCGGCCGGCAATAAAAACCGGGAATGCACGGACGGGGAGTCCGTCGAGCGATAAAATTCACGAATTTGTAACGCGGCGGCCCCGGACTTGTGAAAAATTAAAACTTCTCCTGTAAACAGCCGTTCGAATGTTAACCCAGTTGCAACAAACTGTACCGTTCCGCGAGCCGTATCTGTAAATGTTAATAGCTTCCTACGTTACTGCTCCGAGGAACTTCATTGTTAGCGTAGCAAGACCCTCTGGAAAGTGTGTCTTTACTTCTAAATGTTTCGAACGCGATGCTGTGCAGTTATTTTGAATATCCAGCGATCTCTTTCGCAATCTCGATCGCGTCCTTATTCGTGTCACGGAAATCGTATTTGCAGTAATGTCTCTCTAATTGACGCTCAGATTGACCAGAAAAATGGACAATTTTGGAACAGGAGATGCGATTGTTCGAGCCTTGTGACTCGTTCTTTATGGTTATCGATTGTCAACAACTATAAAAACAAGGCTGGAATAATCGTATCTCCACTACGCAAATTTTCCATTTTTGTGCACAGTCTGAGCGTCAATTAGGGAGACATTGCTGTATTCGGAACCAATTCGTTTCGGTTTTTCTTATACTGGATGCCCTGGATACGTGGTTCTCTCGAAAAGGTTTAACAAATACTACGTCTATCGCTTCCAATTTCTCGAGTAAATAACTATAGAATTCACTGTTACCAATCTGTTAGGTTTCAATACAGTGTCCATATATTTCTTGGCTCTTAGAGCGCTGTTTCGAAATTTTTGCAAGTCAATATGCAAATTCTAGTATAACATCGAAATTCTCGATCTTGTAAGTAAGCTCCGAATATTTGCGTAATTATCCGTTTGCAATTACGAGAATAATTTCTTTAGCTAATTAAAAAAGATTCATTGCAGCAAAACTGAATTAAAAAAGCAATTAAATTGTAGTAAGACAAATCCTATCTTGTATTTCGCGAACTTACGCGTAACTTAAATGCATGAAGAAGACTAAACGACGTTCTACGTTCGCGCGGAATACAAGACAAGATACAGAAATAGAAAGAATAAATATTTCTGCAATGACCGTCATGTTTGTTAATGATTTTAGGATTCACGACTGCAGTTGTTTCATTTCGATATCTAACACCTGGCTCGAAAAATGTGACGAAGCTTCGGCAGAAATTAAACGCTATTTAGAGGCGGCCGCTTTCACGCGTCTTGTATGGTGTCCACGTGATCTGTTTCTCCAATGAGAGCAAAAACAATTTACGTTTCTGTTCGCGGAATGACGTGGTTCATTGATAACGGCAGGTGTACCACGAACTGTTCAAAAGAACGCCGGCTGAATGGCGCGCCAGCTTTCGCCACGCCCTTTGTGTCCGTTTCCCTGCGATGTCCTTCCACTGCTGACATTCTGGGAATGAAATTTAAGGGAAGAAACGCTTATTTTCGAGACGCGAGCACTCGCGGAATCGTAATGCGTGTGTTACATCTCGACCACGAGTGGCTACGGTGCAAACTGGATTGCTCTTCTGAAATAGGAAGCGAATACAGCAACGTGAACGCCATCGAATACAAACTTTACGATATTTGAATGAATTGGACGAGAAGCTACATTTCTGCGGAATAAGAAACAATTGAAATTAATGAAGAAACAATTATTTTCAAATTATTGAAATTATGAGAAGTCTCTAGTAAGAAATGGTTGAATAAACTTCTCAATTCGAACACGTTCTACACACACTACATCGCATCTCGTTTTTATAATTGTTGACAATAGTCAACTATAAAAATGAGCGCGAGGCTCGAATAATTATATCTCCTCTTTTTAAATTGTTCATTTCTGTGTAAACAAAAAGCCTGTAAAAGCTGAAGGAAAATTAGGGAGATTTTACTATATGCATAAAGAAAATGGCGAAATGTCGGCAATAAATTCAGTCCGGTCATTTTTATGAAGCAACACGTTTTATCTAATGTTAGAATTCGGTAGGCTTAGCACTATAATCTTAAAAAAACATGTACCATGAAAATGCGACAAGCCTTTGTTTTTAATACATCGTACAAGTAAATGACATTGTCAGGAGAAACTTGTTCGCATCCTGCGACGAACGTTCCTCGTTTTCGCAAAACAAGCGACATTGAAACGATGCTCACTCGCGCACAGCAACAAATTTAGGAATCGTATCCGCGTATAGCAGTGGGAGCAACGATAAATCTATCGGACGAAGAATGTATTCGTCGCTTATTGCGGTAAGCAATTTTACCAGCGTCCAGCTGGCTGGTCCTATGGCAGATAGGAAGGGCAAGGTATCCACAAAAGGGATTCGCTGCATAATCACGGGTAAATTTATGAGGGAACCGCATCGGAAATTTCGGTCACGTAACGCTATCCCGCGCAGACACGCTTCAGCGTGAACGTAAAATCTCCGGCGTGTAGCCGACCGACGAAACTAATTCCACGGCCGATACCACTGTCTACTGCAATCTTGTTCCGCGTTACACCGACGTACTGCTCGGCACTTCCCCATGGAAAAGTAACGAAACGTAATTTATTTAACCGCCCGCTTTCGTCTGCTGGAACTTCGTAATCAGACCCCGGGAAGCTGCGTTGCTCACGCCAACCGGTTAGGGCACGCCTTTATCTCCTCTAGCCCTTAATTAGTTCTTGGCCGACTGCTCGCCCCCGACTATTTATTTATTCGTTGCATCGAACGCCTCGGATAAACGTGGGCCAATTTTATCCGCGCGCCGGCGGATGCTATCGTATCGCCGAGGTCATGAAACCATCCTGGTAATTAAGGTATCGGGGAGCTCGAGAGCTATCGATTCTCCGCTCTCGCAAGTTGCCGATGGATAGGCTGTTGACCTTCGCGCATTTCTGGTGCGACGAAAATTTCTAAAGGCGTGGAGACGTGTACGGTAACGGCAGACCACCGATTTTATGCATTTCTGACCGAAATAACTAGGTTAAATACAAAATTCTGAGGACAGGAGAATCGAAGAACGCCTTTCTAACGTGCGCAACTTGGTAAAATGACTAAAAGAGGAAAGACAGTTTTATCAGCTTGTAATTAGCTTCGATAAGTATTATTTTGCATCAAAATCCGCGGGCTTGTAATTAGACAGGCACGGAAGACTAGCTTCGATTGTTCGACTATAAGACTCGGTTTAAGTTACCAAATTATTTAATTTACGATTATTCAGATCGTAAAGATACATTTTCTGATATTCAATAAATGGGTCAATTGTTGCAATAAAAATCGCTAATCTTCCCTTAAAAGTAAAAGAAATATAATAGAGTGCAGAGTAAATTCTCCCTAATTAACGCTCGGATTGTACGCAAAAATGGACAATTTGTGAAGAAGAAATACGATTTTATGGTTACTGATAGTCAAGAATTATAAAAACAAGCCGCAAAGCTCAGGCGATCGTATCTTCTCTACCCAAATTGTCCATTTTTGTGCCCAATCCGAGCACCAGTTAGGGGAATTTACTATATTGTGAGAGTCAACGGTACGAATCTTCCCTTAAAAGTAAAAGAAATATAATGGAGTACAGTAAATTCTCCCTAATTAACGCTCGGATTGTACGCAAAAATGGACAATTTGTGAAGAAGAAATACGATTTTATGGTTACTGATAGTCAAGAATTATAAAAACAAGCCGCGAAGCTCAGACGATCGTATCTCCTCTACTCAAATTGTCCATTTTTGTGCCCAATCCGAGCACCAGTTAGGGGAATTTACTGTATTGTGAGAGTCAACGCGGTACGAATCTTCCCTTAAAAGTAAAAGAAATATAATAGAGTGCAATAAATTCTCCCTAATTAACGCTCGGATTGTACGCAAAAATGGACAATTTGTGAAGAAGAAATACGATTTTATGGTTACTGATAGTCAAGAATTATAAAAACAAGCCGCAAAGCTCAGGCGATCGTATCTCCTCTACCCAAATTGTCCATTTTTGTGCCCAATCCGAGCACCAGTTAGGGGAATTTACTATATTGTGAGAGTCAACGGTACGAATCTTCCCTTAAAAGTAAAAGAAATATAATGGAGTACAGTAAATTCTCCCTAATTAACGCTCGGATTGTACGCAAAAATGGACAATTTGTGAAGAAGAAATACGATTTTATGGTTACTGATAGTCAAGAATTATAAAAACAAGCCGCGAAGCTCAGACGATCGTATCTCCTCTACTCAAATTGTCCATTTTTGTGCCCAATCCGAGCACCAGTTAGGGGAATTTACTGTATTGTGAGAGTCAACGCGGTACGAATCTTCCCTTAAAAGTAAAAGAAATATAATAGAGTGCAATAAATTCTCCCTAATTAACACTTGGATTGTACACAAAAATGGACAATTTGTGAAGAAGAAATACGATTTTATGGTTACTGATAGTCAAGAATTATAAAAAGAAGTCGCAAAGCTCAGACGATCGTATCTCCTCTACCCAAATTGTCCATTTTTGTGCCAAATCCAAGCACCAATTAGGGGAATTTACTGTATTGTGAGAGTCAACGGCACGAATTCTGTGGGCTGGAAAATCGTTACAATGTCAATGACGATAGAAATTTATACGATCAATCGTCTAGCATACTTTCTCTCGGACGCGTGTTATTCTTCTCCCCGTAATTTCACTCGTATTGCGTGATACCACATAATAGAAACAGAACTATATCTTGTTCCCGAAAAATGTGATTCGACCTGGGTACACAAGAAATTCCAGGAAAATCTTATTTTCGCTAAAGGAAACAGCGGATTATATGGCGTCGTAATTCAGAGCCGCGCGGCAGATTTATATCGCGACGTCTGCTGGTCATAATTTCTGCACATAAAGATATCTTTCTCTGCCGCGACTGTTTTAATCGTGCGTTTTTGTGCGAACATGCAGCGTCGACGATGGCCGCCGCCTCGATACAGGTGCACAGGTTGCTGCAGGTTCCGCGTTGTTGGTGCTTGCCTTTGTTGATGGTTTTCGTGTCGAACAAAATTATCGCATTAGGATATCTTCACGGTCAACCGACCGTAACATCGACGGCAGAACGATCGTGTGTGCCTCTCGAGATGTCTAATCGTGAAAGAAATTATCCATACTACTATTTAACGCTCGAAGAGCGAACGTTTTTTTTTATAAAGATATAACTGACAATGAGCATGCTTTGGATCTTTGGTAATTTTATTAATCAAGTTCTTTCGATATATTTTTTAACCGTTTGAGTCCCAGCGATTATTCAGAAAACACGGTCGAAAAATGCCGAACAGCGTGATAGCGCTTGTCTTAATTGATCGCGAAGAAAACGAAGCGGCGCGATAGCGCTTGTCGAGATTGACAAACAAAACAAAAAGAAAAAAAAAGAAAGAAAAGCAGCTGTGAAATGTACGTGCGTCATTGAAGTTTGATCGCGACACAAGATTTAAACAGCGCGATCGCGCTGCTTGGAACTCAAACGGTTAAGCTATCCACTAAACCACGAAAAAATGAATTGCTAACAAACCGCCAATCTCTGAGTAATTATAGCTTTGTATACGATATCTATAACGAACCAGTCTCGTTGAAAGCAGTGTAAGTGACTGTAATTATACTGTATATGTTTGATTTTCTTCATATCTTGTTTAAGCACAACACTTTTATAAAATACATAATTGAATACAGAACACCAAAGTACATATTCTTCTTAACCAGTCAGCTGTACTCGACGAGTATACTCGACACGAACTAATGGCGACGCGTACACCCGTCGAAAACGTCCGACCGGTTTTTGTAAACTGGTTCGTTAAAAAACACGAGAAACACGAGATGAGATAAAGCTGAAGTAAAAATGATCGGCCGTGCGGAGCGCATCGTTTTGCGAATGGAAAAGTGAAATCTCGAAATTTGACAGAAGGGGTTAAACAGTGTCCGATTGCACGGACCCACTTCGGTATTTGCGAACAAGTACGACCGCCCCCGTTCGCTTGCTGGACGAACCGGGTTAATAAAGTGACGGGAACCGTAACGTTAACTCGCGTAATTGCCAAAAGACCGATATCGAAGCCGTAAAAACTCGCGAAGGTAAATAGCGGGCTCGAGGTTTTGGTACCGCCACAAATTGGCGTTCGCGGTCGAAGCCGGCCCGAGGCACCGAGCCACGGGCTAATGGATAAAGAGACGAATGGCTTCGGTCGGGAGAGCGTTACTGCGTTACCGGGAACGGGAACGGGAACGGGGACGGCGACGTTCGTCGTTCGAACGGATGATTAACGGAGAAACGTCGGATCGCCGCCGCGATTAACGACACCCAGTCAGACCTGTAGCCACTCGCGATCTAACTGCAGTTTAGCCGTTCTCGTCGATGAAACTAATTCCTTGGATTGCCACTGTCGATGCAGTTTGTTCTTGTTCAAAACTGTCCTCGCGCGACCCCCGCAAACCAGGGATGCTGCTGTCATGAAATCGAGTGAATGCTAGCGACGCATATGGAAACGGTAGATATGGACCGTTTATTTGAAAAGAAAATTAGATATCGCATAATTTGTGATTATTTCAGTGTAACCTTTTTATGTATAACTGAATAAAAATAGACCAATAATAAACGGTCCGTATAATAAAATCTTTATGAAGTGGCAATTAATTCTAAGGGAGATTGTGGACATAAGTGAACAAAATCGGAAGACGCTACAGTGATCATTGAAACGAGGGCTCGGGGAATCTGGATCAACAGAACTCGGTGGTCTGAATTCTTTATTA